GAGGATAAAAGTGTTGGCGGCTAGATTCTATAGGACGAAGTGTAGGAATATGCTGGTTTATGGGGCGTCCTGGGAAAAAAGTTTCCCGGAAGGTTATAGGAACCTCACTGTGGGTTCCCTTAGGTGGGGTCCCTGAGGATGGACAAAGGAGTGGTCTCCTTATGGGGGGGGATGTAAAGGGGGGGGTTGTTTTTGGTTTTCTCTGGAACTGATGTAGTGTGTAAGAGGAAGGTAGTGAGAATTAGGTATGGATGGTACGCCATGTTTCACGAGAATGTTTGTCATAGTGAGATATAAGTGTGGTTTCCAGGGTTACATTTCTAAGCCTGATGTTATTGTTCACGGGGTTTAAAATTTCCTTGAAAGCCAGGATACCGAGCCCTTAGGATCTCGTTTTTAAGTAATTAGATTGGCACGTTGGTATCAACACAAAATTTTCTGAGATACGTGTCAGTTCTTTTGGGACTGGCACATTACAGCAGATTTATCCTTATTACTACTCTAGTCTTACGTTTAACTTTTATTTTCAGATGAAGGTTCTATGTGAAAAAATTTAAGTGTGTGTATAGGTTTTGGGTCTATACCACGTTTTTATGGGGTTAAACCAACAAAGTCTTGTGGACAAGATTTTCGGTTTATATACATATGTGGGAGGTATAATTATGTATAGGGTTTGGTTATAAACCCTTTAATGTACCAAGGTTTGTTATAAATACTTGTTTTGGATTCTTTTATTATTGTATTTTACATGCATGTTGTTCTGTTTTCTGTATCAACATTATTGTATTAGAGGGTTAACATATTAATAATAGTAAAATCCTGTTTCTCTATGGTTATTGTGTAAGGAATCATATGTTCCTTCCGGTTTCCTATTGGTTAGGATCTAATGTACCATAACTTAACCAATAATCTGTACCCTGTCATAGCGGGTATGTTAGGGTTTTGTTTTGTTTTGTAGTGGTTATGGTAGTTTTGGTTAATCTTGTGATGTTGTACATTTGTATGATGTTTTTGTTGTAATAGGACATGTCAGGTATTCATTTTATATTGTTAAACTATGTAAAGTTTCTTTTTGGTGTGTTTTCTTTGGGTACAATGGCTTGGCGGCAACTATTAATGACTGATAAACTTTAGTGAGGTTTGTCTTAGCGTGTATTGTTTTGCTATAACAAGATGTTATAATACTTGTTCCCGCAAGGAATAACCTGGTACTAGTAGAACAAAAGAATGTTTTGTATTCCTGTACTTTATTATGCATCCTTTGTACTTTTGTAAGGTTTCTAATAAAAATATATAAAAAAAAAAAACCGTGGGAGTCGTGCAACACCTGGTGAATGAGAGCTAGGTTTGATCCTGGAGAAGGGTTAACTCCAAGTCATAGAATCAAGAGCCCTTCACCAGCATCAAGGTAGACCCCCCGCCACTGAAGGGTCTGATCAGCAAGAGAATCTGGTGTGCCCAGAATATCAAGATCACTGCTTAATCATTGTTCATGTATGTTGATGGTGGAGATGCTGGTGTTGATGTACGTTGATGGTGGAGGTGCTGGTGTTGATGAACGTTGATGGTGGAGGTGTTGGTGTTGATGTACGCTGATGGTGGAGGTGCTGGTGTTGATGTACGTTGATGGTGGAGGTGCTGGTGGAGGTGTTGGTGTTGATGTATGTTGATGGCGGAGGTGCTGGTGTTGATGTACGTTGATGGTAGAGGTGCTGGTGTTGATGTACGTTGATGGTGGAGGTGTTGGTGTTGATGTACGTTGATGGTGGAGGTGCTGGTTGTTGATGTACGTTGATGGTAGAGGTACTGGTGTTGATGTACGCTTGATGGTGGAGGTGTTGGTGTTGATGTACGTTGATGGTGAGGTGCTGGTGTTGATGTACGTTGATGGTGGAGGTGTTGGTGTTGATGTACGTTGATGGTGGAGGTGTTGGTGTTGATGTACGTTGATGGTGGAGGTGTTGGTGTTGATGTATGTTGATGGTGGAAGTGCTGGTGTTGATGTACGTTGATGGTGGAGTGTTGGTGTTGATGTACGTTGATGGTGGAGGTGTTGGTGTTGATGTATGTTGATGGTGGAGGTGCTGCGTTGATGTACGCTGATGGTGGAGGTGTTGGTGTTGATGTACGTTGATGGTGGAGGTGTTGGTGTTGATGTACGTTGATGGTGGAGGTGTTGGTGTTGATGTACGCTGATGGTAGAGGTGCTGGTGTTGATGTACGTTGATGGTGGAGGTGCTGGTGTTGATGAACGTTGATGGTGGAGGTGCTGGTGTTGATGTAGCGCTGATGTGGAGGTGCTGGTGTTGATGAACGTTGATGGTAGAGGTGCTGGTGTTGATGTACGTTATGGTGGAGGTGTTGGTGTTGGATGAACGTTGATGGTGGAGGTGTTAGGTGTTGATGTACGTTGATGGTGGAGTGTTGGTGTTGATGTACGCTGATGGTGGAGGTGCTGGTGTTGATGTACGTTGATGGTGGAGGTGTTGGTGTTGATGAACGTTGACGGTGGAGGTGCTGGTGTTGATGTACGTTGATGGTGGAGGTGTTGGTGTTGATGAACGTTGATGGTGGAGGTGCTGGGTTGATGTACGTTGATGGTGGAGGTGTTTGTGTTGATGAACGTTGATGGCGGAAGTGTTGTGTTGATGAACGTTGATGGTGGAGGTGCTGGTGTTGATGTACGTTGATGGCGGAGGTGTTGGTGTTGATGTACGTTGATGGTGGAGGTGTTGGTGTTGATGAACGTTGATGGCGGAGGTGTTGGTGTTGATGTACGTTGATGGCGGAGGTGTTGGTGTTGATGTACGTTGATGGCGGAGGTGTTGGTGTTGATGTACGTTGAATGGCGGATGTGTTGGTGTTGATGTACGTTGATGGTAGAGGTGCTGGTGTTGATGTACGTTGATGGTGAAGGTGCTGGTGTTGATGTACGTTGATGGTAGAGGTGCTGGTGTTGATGTACGTTGATGGTGGAGGTGCTGGTGTTGATGTACGTTGATGGCGGAGGTGTTGTGTTGATGTATGTTGATGGAGGAGGTGCTGGTGTTGATGTACGTTGATGGTGGAGGTGTTGGTGTTGATGTATGTTGATGGTGGAGGTGCTGGTGTTGATGTACGTTGATGGTGGAGGTGCTGGTGTTGATGTACGTTGATGGTGGAGGTGCTGGTGTTGATGTAGTTGATGGGTGGAGGTGCGGTGTTGATGTACGTTGATGGGGAGTGCTGTGTTTTGATGTACGTTGATGGTGGAGTGCTGTGTTGATGTACGTTGATGGTGGAGGTGTTTGTGTTGGAGACGTTGATGGTGGAGGTGTTGGTGTTGATGTACTTGATGGTGGAGGTGTTGGTGGGTTTATGTACGTTGATGGTGGAGGTGCTGGTGTTGAGTACGTGATGATAGAGATGCTGGTGTTGATGTACGTTGATGGTGGAGGTGCTGGTGTTGATGTACGTTGATGATAGAGATGCTGGTGTTGATGTACGTTGATGGTAGAGGTGCTGGTGTTTGATGTACGTTTATGATAGAGATGCTGGTGTTGATGTACGTTGAATGGTAGAGTGTTGGTGTTGATGTTCGTTGATGGTGAGGTGCTGGTGTTGATGTACGTTGATGGTAGAGGTGCTGGTGTTGATTTTACGTTGATGGTGGAGGTGTTGGTGTTGATGTTCGTTGTTGGTGGAGGTGCTGGTGTTGATGTACGTTGATGTGGAGGTGTTGGTGTTGATGTACTTGATGGTGGAGGTGCTGGTGTTGATGTACGTTGATGGTGGAGGTGCTGGTGTTGATGTACGTTGATGGTGGAGGTGCTGTTTGATGTACGTTTGATGGTGGAGGTGCTGGTTTTTGATGTACGTTGATGGGAGAGGTGCTGGTGTTGATGTACGTTGATGTGAGGGGGCTGTGTTTTGATTACGTGAGGGTGGAGGTGCTGGTGTTGATGTACGTTGATGGTGGAGGTGCTGGTGTTGATGTACGTTGATGGTGGAGGTGCTGGTGTTGATGTACGTTGAGTGGAGGTGCTGGTGTTGATGTACGTTGATGGTGGAGGTGCTGTGTTGATGTACGTTGATGGTGGCGGTGCTGGTGTTGATGAAACTTGATGGTGGAGGTGCTGGTGTTGATGTACGTGATGGTAGAGGTGCTGGTGTTGAGGGGTTTTACATTGATGGTGGAGGTGTTGGTGTTGATGTACGTTGATGGTAAGGTGTGCGTGTTTGATGTATCGGTTGATGATAGAGATGCTGGTGTTGATGTACGTTGATGGTGGAGGTGTTGGTTTGATGTTCGTTGTTGGTGGAGGTGCTGGTGTTGATGTACGTTGATGTGGAGGTGCTGGTGTTGATGTACGTTGATGGTGGAGGTGCTGGTGTTGATGTACGTTGATGGTGGAGTGCTGGTGTTGATGTACGTTGATGGTGGAGGTGCTGGTGTTGATGTACGTTGATGGTGGAGGTGCTGGTGTTGATGTACGTTGATGGTAGAGGTGCTGGTGTTGATGTACGTTGATGGTGGAGGTGTTGGTGCTGATTACTTATGTAGAGGTGCGGGTGTTGATGTACGTTGATGGTGGAGTTTGTACCAACACAATGACAAAATCACTCGCATACGAAAAAGATCGAATTTCCCCCAGAAGTCATGCTCATACCAGACCATTAACCTCATCACATTCATGGTGAGAGGCGCTAAACCAGTAGGTGGGAGGTGAGAAGACTCGACCCAGAGAATATCATGGAGGAGCGCTAAACCTGTAGGATTATATAGCGCATATAGGGGGGGGATGGAAGGTATTTAGGCTCAATCAAGGAACCGGAGCACAGATCCAATTCCCTGAATCAAGAGCCCCTCACCAGCGTCAAGGAACCTCCCTTGCTATTCAAGCCAAAATCGATAGTTTTACCTATTTTGGCACGACCCTATACATTGATGACAGAGTTATGGTTAATGAAACATATTTTGTCTTACTGTATTACTGACGGACACATCAATGACACATCACTGACAATGTATACAAAGAAAATTTATTCCTGTGCAAAGGTTACAGTGTGATACATCAGTTTTAAAAGTTATCTACTCGTATATTTACCGGTAAAAAAAAAGTTGAGATAAAAGGTTGATGCTACACAAAATAACATTGAATAAAATGAGCGTTACCGAGACCCTTTTTGCTTCAGTCTGCCATCTGATGTACACACGCACTCTGTGTATGGCAGTATCGTAAATAACCCGCACATAGATTATGACTACGTTTAGGTCCGTCTTGGACCGTTCATGAGTCCAAGACGGACCCAAACGCTGTCATAAGCTTTTCTCTTTCTTCCGTGCGGGTTATTTGTATATTGTTCCAGTCACGGTATTGTGCCGTTTTGTTCTTTATATCATACGCATTACCGCTCAACACGGTCACAACCACAGAACCAGTAGTCATAAGAAGAATGAAATAAGGAACACTGCAGCAGGCCTACAGGCCCTTGCCAGGCAGGTCCAAATCCCCCACCAGCCCAAGTCGCATAGTCGCAGTAATGCACCACCACAGTGAGACATTCCTACACTGTGACCATGAGCTCTTCTAGAGGTTTGCGGGTGAGGTCAGGGACGGTGGCGTCAGGAGCTGGGTATCCCACGGGCATCAAAAGTAGCAGCTTCTCGTTGGGAGGTCGCTGAAGAATGCCCCTGATGGCCGGACCACAGTTGAGAGGAGTCGAAGTTAATGTCGCCAGTCCTGCAGTCTATGGAGAACAAGAAACTGAATTCATTGGTTGGTCAAGGGGGTTTAAAGCCTATCTACTGGAATATGATCATTAAGGTTACACGTAATCCTTCCACAGCCAGACTAGAATTACTTAAATCTCTAAAATAGGGATTATAATCAACTCACAGCGTATATACACAAAATACACCTCTGTGTATATATCCTGTGTCTTCAATAAGGCGAAGTTTCGCTTAAGAAGACCTCAATATTGTTCAAATAAAAGTTTTCTATTTTTTACAGTGGGTAAAATAGTCTTTAAAAAAAATAAAAAAATTGTACTGTTTTCTTTATGTCCATGTTGCACGCAATCAAAACATGTCACAAGCCGTGACATCAGTCATTATTTTGTGTGTTCCATCCAGCCAGTGCGAGCAGATGCACCGTCTTAAACATCCCTTCTGGCCAAGGTTCGAAGTGTAGTATTGACAGACTTGACTGTGCTACCGACACCCACTGTACAGACGTAACAATAACTCTTTAATACCGATACCTTGGCGCAGAGTACAAGCTTGGAGCACCTTAATGGTAATACAGCAGTGTAAGCTGAAGAGCAAAAAGTTCCAAAGGTCAATACCGTAACAGACTAACAAGCTCCCAGTTCAACACTGCTGTATACAACTAAGCCCACGTCAACACTGACAACTATGAGCTTACAAGTCAACATTGCTCCAGATTACTGTGAGCATAGATCAAGATTGTAGCTGTATACTATAAGCTTACAGATGGGACGATAGCTATGACAGAGGGCAGAAACTCACCTGAATGGCACACAAGAGTATGCCACCGGCAATAGCAGTCGAGATCTCATGGTAATAGTGGTTCCTCTTGCGGCCGTCTGGAAGCATCCCGTAAGTCTGCTTGAACACCAGCAGCAGCCACGGGGCCATCGTCAGATACTCTTTCACACAGTCAGTCCGCAGGAATTTGAGGTCTTTCACCCACTGGTTACCTTGCGAGACGAAGAGATATTACCATTCGGTAGTTATGACTGGGACTCTAAAATAGGGTTATGCGGCTCATATAGGTTTAATAATGGTAATTTAAATATCTAAGAGTGAAACTGGAAATATGTAGAGTCATATGTTAAGTTTGTACGAGATGGAAAGGCAGTGTCATTACCGATGGAATAAAATACCGACATATCAAGTTCTCAGAGCATGTGTAACACTTGGGTATCTTTAAGTGCCAAAACGTTTCGCCTGCACAACAGCGTTTTCAGTGAAATGCATGCGAATATAACAGTGACAGTAATAGTAGTTTTGACGTAATTGGTTAGTTAGCCCTGGTAAGAGGTGGTCGGTCCCTCAAGTTTGACGAACTGACCATTACTTACCAAAGCTTCTTCGTGTCATAACTGCTGCTCCTACCGTCTCTAGAGTTATTTTCGTCTGTATTCGATTAAAGACCTCTCAAGGAAGGTTCATTGATGCTGGTAAGGGGCTCTTGCTCTAGGGAATTGGATCTGTTTTCGAGTTCCTTGAATTAAACCTGAATACCTTCCACATCCCCCCCTCAGGCGCTGTATAATCCTACGGGTCTAGCGCTTCCCCTTGATTACAATAATAATAATAATAATTCGATTAAAGAAGCCTGTTGCGCAGATGAAATATTTCTCAAATAAAGATGCCCATGTCTAAGTCATCAACTTGTGGGTATTGCATGCCATCAATAATTAGTACTCTGGTTATATACCCCTCATGACAGTCTTCCACTTACACTCCTCACTGACATCGTTTATTGTACATTATTTAAGAGAGTGAAGGTTCAGTACTCTCAAGCTATCCTCGTATGAAACTCCTTATACAGTAGACTGATTTTGAAATTCTTCTATTTCCAGTGCATTATACTGTATATACATTGTAGTATGGAGACCAGAACTAAGCTGCAGAAACTAAGCGTGACCTTATCAGTGATGTATACAGCTGTATTCTGGACTCTTAGGTGTGAGCTGTAACATAAATCCAAGCAACATGTTAGTCTTGTTAAGTAAGTATAAACACTTGTTCTGGCTTCAGATTTCTGCTTACCATGACTCCCAAATCTTTTTCACATTCTCTATGATCAAGCTCTTCATTGCCTAGTTTATAAGAAGGATATCTATATTTATTTCCAAGGATTACGACTTTCCACTTATCCACACTGAACTGAATCTACCATTTTCTAAACCACAACATTAATTTATCCGAATCTTCTTGAAGTTCAGAGTCTATTCTTCGATCCATTTTTGCAATCAGTGAATTCATTCATGTCACTTATTTCCTCGTCTAGGTCATTAATGTAAATTATGAAGAATGGGCCTAAAACTTAACCTTGTGGAACGCCACTTGTAACTGGAACCCATTCTAGTTTTCTTTAAGGTTAGGAATTACGTTAGCCATCTTTCACGTGTATTAGAAGCCTTTCCTGTGAAGACAGGCTGAAAATATTGTTTGCATTGCAAAGGCATAGAATTAGGGAGGATATTGATAGTATTGTGCAAATGAAAAACAGAAGTAACGAAATTGTCTACTTAAACAGAATTCGCAGCAATACAATCAAGCTGGAAAAATTTAGATTTACAGAGGATATGGGGAAACACTAGATTTTAACTGGAATAAACTCTTGTAGTGTCAGTGAAGAAAGAACTTTGGATAACTTCAAAAAATAAGTTGGATAGATACACGAGTGACTGTGAATTGAACCTGTCTAGCATGGGCCAAGGTTTATACCCAGGGTTGGCAGGAGTGCTGCATGCACCAGGGTATTTATTTTGAAGAAGTTTTACCCAACCAGTGGCTTTTTCAACTTAATACAGAGCTTATAAACTGTGATGGTAAAACTCGATGTAATGAATCCCTTCATCAAGGCTCAAGTGCTGAACACTTTCAAAGCTGAGGAACTGATTACTTCATCTTTCACAGTTTCCAGTTTACAAGCACT